ATTAATTTGGTATTAAAACTTACCACAATACAACACAAGGGAGGGCTCTTAGTGTCTTCACTGCTGTTAGGTTCAAGATTCGAATCATGTACCTAACAATTGCAGAAAGGGTGTGGGAAGAGGTGGGAGGATAAAAAAAAAGGAAAAATTATTTTGGCATAGAACTACTTGAATTAATATACATTGATAATGTATATATAGAAAATTAATTTATAAATACTTTAACTTGTTAATGTGAACACAATCTTTAACTAATGGAGAATAAATTTGTCATTTTAGAAAAAAGAATTTTTTTTTTGGCATATAATGACTAACTGTGACAATATCATTTGTCAAAGCTTGTATGTAAGAAAAAGGATTAAGCATGGCAAGCTGGACAATCAGTTCCGGGGCTATTCCTATTCAGAACACATTCGAAGGTGCCTGCCCATGCATCAATATTCGTCAAGAACTCCTTTCAATGGAAAATCTTCTTAAGAGTTTCTGGCATTGATGAATGTTCAAATTCTGATGTAGGATATGGCCCTGAAGGCCCGTGTAACACTGCTTTGCCAATTGTATCCAAAATCCTAGTTAATAACTTGACCTAGAAGAAATTTAAGTACCAATTAGCTATTGTCTAAACACCAAAACATTAGCCAAAATATAATGCTTCACACACCAGTTCCGCGTTCAATACAGGGAGAAATCAGAATTGCCGGAACCCCTATCACCGAAGCGATCAAATTTGAAATTAAAGGGTTCAGGAGTTACTTTGTCATCTGGGCTTGGAATCCCGGTGAGAGGAGTTGGAACATGATCATAAAATCCACCATGTTCGTCGTAGATGATAATGAACAAATTTCAGTCCAGAGTTGTGAAAGAAATCTATGGCACCATAAGATGTAGCGGAGCTGATAAACAGCGTATTTGGCTGTGTCAAACCAGGAGTTGATGAAAACCGTCTGTCATAAACTGCAAATTCTGAAATCAGCTGCTTGTAAACTGGCAATGACTCTGGTCTGTATCCATGCATTACTGTCTCTGGCAATGACGACATTGGTTTGAATCCATTCATTATCTTCACAACTATCCAATCCTGAAACCTTTCCGCATTCTGTGTGAAGCCTTCCATTGTTGGAGAAAGATCTTGGGAAGCTGATGATGACGAGAACTGATCACTAGTCCATGGTACACCAAAAACTTGCTCCAATAATATTGCGTCAAATGAATGGGCAGGATCTGGCACAACATCCCCAGATTGATCACCAAAATAGATGCTGTTTGAATCAGGATCAGAGGTTGATAAAGGGTTCCATTCAGTTCCAGTTACACCATCAATTTCAGGATTCAGGGACTTCATCCATCCTAGCATGTCGTCAAATGATTGATTTTCTTGGACTACAATACTTCTGAAGTATTTTAAGATAATCTTGCAATGACGACGTTAGGCAATTTAGTATCAATCACTAACCATTCCTAATTTTCTGGGTAATTGTATTTTAAAGTATTTGATTTTGATGACTGTGGTTCCTACTTGCACTGTCCTGTCCTTCTTGATAGAGGGTGAACCCTGAACCTAGTAAGAAGGAGGCTATTAAAGTTCTGTTGCCACCAGGTCAACCCCAATCGTTAAACAGCAAATCTACATTTTGCGACTGACAATGCCTCTTTAATGAGGGTAATGCAGAAGTTTGCTTCTTTGGTATTGTAGTTGATTTATGAAATTAAGATTTGCTTCTTTTTTTTTCCTCCATAGTTTGCTGTGTTGAAAAAGAAGGAAAAAAAAAAGAAACAAAAGCAAATAGCCAGACAGTCACCGTCGAAAAGCCAAATGAGTTTTCTGCATGCATGGAAACGTTTTGTTTTTTAAAAGGAAGTATTCGTTATACAGCTAAACTGATACTTTTCCCCTTTTCTTCCATATTGCAATGTCAATCTCCATCTTCTTAAACACTGATGTAACTCAAGTCAAATCACCCTTGATCAGGTGAGATAAATATTTTGCAATTTGCCAATTTTTGGTGCCTTATTTCTCCAAAAAATTTTCCAACAATAACACATCACTTCACATACGAACCAACTTCAACTTCTTGCAAATAGATGGACGGCTATCAATTTGCCACTCTCATTAAACATAGATTTCAAGCAAGAAAAGGTTCCTTTTTGTTTTGTTTTTTCTAATACCTGTATTTGCCTAGCTGTTTGGTCCCTTTTTGAGGCAAAATTTGTCATACTGTTATGGTATTTAAGCTCAATTCGTCAAATTGAATGATTTTATTTTCTCTCTTTTATCATTGTGATAGAAAAAAGCTAAGAAAAATGTAACGACTACCATATTACTCTAGTTGTTGCTACGACGAGAATAACAAAAAAGAACTAATAATAACTCAGGCAGGATTTTCTTTTAGTAAGACTATGGGTCTGTTTGATAACATACAAAAGTGCTGAAACTGAATCTTTTCAGATATTCAGATGTTTTGAGTGTTTGATAAATGAAAATCCATCTGCTGAATTTGTTAAGCAGTGCTGAAATTGTGTGTATTTTTTTCAGCACAAAAATCCTAATTGAATGCTTAATTCTGATAAGAATCAAAAGAATTACTTCAACTACTTTATCTTATCTACCAAATCTAACCTTGTTTGTTAATTATGTTCAAAATTCTTATCTAATTAAACAATCTGATATTCTCTATCTAACGGTTTTTAGTTTCAATTTTCTTCCTTTTTAATGATTTTCATATCTTTTCCATACTCCTCATATAATATATTTCATCTTTTATATTAATTTGATTTAAAAATAAATTTTGTCATTTTCATACCTAATAATTTTAAGTTAATTAAATCATAGGTTCTATTTCTTTTTTGAATGAAAAGATATAAGGGCTAAATTGTCATATTAAACTTATTAAGCATTCAGTTATAAATATTTATCAAACAGTATAAAGAAGTTTAGCATTAAAATTCAGACATTCATAATTTCTTTTCAGTACTTAAAATTCAGCAAATTATTGTTTCAGTATTTAGATTTCAGAATTCAAACTTCAGAATTCAGATTCAGTTTTATCAAACGGAACCTATGTAGAAAAGGTTATGTCAAAACTACTTTAATCTATTTTAGTTTTAAAACTGTTGATTAAAATTAAGACGAGGTTGGTTACTCAACCGTGTAATTATGATGTCAATCTAAAAGATTAACTGTTTAACGAATGAAATTACATTTTAATATGAGATAAAATAGGATTCACCTATACTACACCAACTATGTATACACTAGCAGGATTGTATGCATGTTACATAATTTTTATTTGAATTCAAACTCTACGTGTAAAAAAGATTAGTCCAACAAAATCATGTAAACAAAGAGTTAGATAGAGAAAATGCAGAAAGAGAGATAAATTAGATGATAGGAGCGTAAGTGAAAGGTCACGGTTGCGAGACCTCCTAGTAGTATTAAAAAATTTTGAGAAAATGGGAAATTTATAGCTGAATATATGAGCAGGCCTGAAAAGATTGCAGGTGGCTTGGTACGGGTGGTTTACAGCTCGGACTTATACACATTGGAATACGATGACTTGAGCAGACCATTAGCCCATAAATGTGTACTTTTTGGTGTGATTGTCAAATTTCCACACCATTAGACAGCTTTTATGAAGATGCAAATTGGAAATTCATAGTCCATTTACACATGGGCAGGTATGGACTGCACTTAGCCCATTGATTTTAATTATCAATACTAACTTCTTACGCTGAAAATGATCACAAAGGAGCTTGCCACATAATGCTGTAATTGGGCTCTCATTGGACTCTTAAACTAGATAAGTCTAGGCCCATGATTGAGCCTTGATCACATTCACTAATAAAAGATTCACATTTGTCACGTACGACTGAAAATTTTGGAAAACGTTTTTCTTGTGCTGGAGAGGGAAAGAACTGCTTTCCATCCAAAAATTGCCATTTGTACTTTTAGAATCCCTAAAGAAACTTTCTCATTTATAAATTATATTAATTTTCTGTACACTGACGATATGTGTCATGCATCCAAAGGTGAAAGTGTATACACAGTCAGTTTATATAAGATTTACTCTTATAAATTATAAATAATAAATAGATTTGGGAAGATTAATTCGCCGGACTTTAATGCTTTGTCACAAGGAAGTCTCAAGCTCGTTTATAAAAAAAAAAAAAAAGTAACTCCTTAATCATCCAATGATTAAATTATATCTAAATATGATAGTGCACGAATGATTGCCTGCTAAACGAATTATTAAAAGATTCTATAGACTCGAAAAATATACCTGAAAAATTATTGATTACCTTGATATTTAAAAAAGTATGGATCTATTTTTTTTTTAATCTAGTCACTTCCTTTGTGCACACCAAATGCCAACAAGTAAAGGGTGGTTGGAACTGTTCTTGTACTTTACTAGTAGTAGTGTTCTAAAACTTCCATCTATCTCCAATTGTAAAGCATAGGTCCACAAGTATTTGACAAAAAAATAATAATAATTAAAAGGATGATTGCATCCATTCCCGAGGACAGCATTTTATGGCAAAATCATGTAGTAAATAGGTAGCCGTACGTCAAATAAGAAAAATATGCAAAATGCCATCAAAGTGGTCAATTAATTATGGGTAGGCCAATAATTGACAAGTGCCTACTTGGCCTTTTTAACTTTGTAAATTTGTATGTTAGGCATGAAGCTGTAACTAAACAATTAAAGAATTAAACTGAAATTCCATGATACTGCATGATCTTTTCTTGATGGGAAGAATCATACCATAATCACTAGCGGCGCACATTCATAGAATTGACTTCTTTTTTTTTTTTTTTGGCTTGATCTTAGTTTCGGTTTGCAATATTCAGGCAATGTAGATTTGGTAATTAGAACAAAGATTAGAATGCAAGTTAAGTAAGGTTGGAAAAATGTTCAGAAAAGAACCCTATATTTGCCGAATCTATAAGCAAGCTATAATGAGCTAGAAGTATTGAGAGAACATGACGCTAATTCTTGAAAATAGACAAATCAAGAAGTAGTTTACCAAACAAATACAATATTATTCCATAGCTTTGGACAATTATTAATGGATTGGTGTAGTTCACTTGTGCAATGGTTGGGTCACCATCCCACGTCAAAAGATCGTGGGATCTTTACTCTGGGTTTAAGGTTCATGGGAGCACTTTCCTATCACCAATTGGTTGGATGGGTGTTTCTTGTGGGTCCCCTTTAGATTACCTTCGAGTCGCTCTTTCGGGTTATTCCCGTGTTTGTTCTAATTGAGTGCGTGTGTGTGTTTATTTCAGTTGCTTAAAGTTCTAATTGAGTGCGTGTTTGTTCTAATTGAGTGCGTGTGTGTGTTTATTTCAGTTGCTTAAAGTTCTAATTGAGTGCGTGTGTGTGTTTATTTCAGTTGCTTAAAAAAAAAAAGTAGTTCACTTGTGCACTTGTTAATTTTCATATTTTGGTGAATTTGAACAATCTTTGGAACTGTAGATTAAAGAAATTAGTATTCACAAGAGCTAGCAGTTTTAGCTGGGAATGATATGATTCTTGCCTTTATCTTGCCTTGTAAAATTGAATCTTCCTGTGGAAAAAGATCTCTTCATTACAGCAGGAACTCTTGCTGCTAAATCGCAGTCTTTGCTTCTATCTTTTTGCTTGCTTTGTCCCTCCTGCATCCCTTTTGAAGAACCAATTCCGATCCCACCGTCTGAGTCTTCTCGATCATGTTCATTGGTTCTCAGGCTATCAGCAACCGGAAGATTGCGCCGACGAGAAAATGTACCCAAAGACATCGATCTTCTGAATTGTCTTGCATCTTCTCGGTCACCAATTATGCAGTTTCTGGAGTCAACATTTTCCGACTCATTGTCAAATTGGAGAGCATCCTTAAAAAGAATATCTGAAACGAGGCTAATAGAAACTTCTTCTTGATGAGTACTCCTCTCTTGATGATCCTCTACCACGAATATCAGATCATTTTGTCTCTGGATTTCGAGGGAAGATATGTTGAGGGTGGTCAAGGAAGTTTGAGAACTTGGAGCCGGAGGAGGCAGGGTTGGAATAGCAGGATTTACATTGGCACGGCAAAGAGGACAATTGGAGTGAGATTTCAACCATGCATCAATACAAGGAAGGTGAAAAGCATGACAACATTTTGGCAACAATCTGAGGCTTTCATCTTCCTGAAACTCATTTAAACACACTGCACATTCCGTCCCTTCCACCAATCCATCGCCTTTCTTATACCTGAAAACTGTTATAGACTTGATAAGTGCCTCGTCTAAACCAGTTGTAGCAACCTGCCATTGGTCATGAGTCACTTCATCATGGTGAGCTTCAAACTCAATGTTTGAATTTCTTGATCTTCTTCTTCTGCAATATCTGGTGACAATGGTATAGTAGCTCACTAGAAGGAAAGCGCTCGCCAATATACCCAGGATTGCTATAATCAGAGGGGAGAATGTGGTGCCTGAGCCATCATCATTTCCAAGAGGAGGAGGAGGAGGGAAGATTATGTAGCACCATTGAGGACAATATATGCTGCAAATTCCCTGTGAACAATCCCTATAAGTATCATATGGTGCCCAGGAACTTGGCCTCCCCACAGATCCCATGTCCAAAATTTTATGGCCACTAAAATCTGCAATAGCTTATGTATGGTATTTCCATAATTCACATGCCATCAACATAGGCATGCTTTGCAAGAGAAATGAGAGATGAGTAGGTGCACAGATGAGGAGTCTAAGGAAAGAGGGCTTAGAGGGCAAGGGAAGCAAAGAACAGGAGGAGATGGAGGTTGAGGTGTACTTTCCACTGTTGTTTCTTTTAGGAGTGACTTTAGCTTCCTCATCTTCTTTCTTTTTATCTACTTGGCTTTACTTAAAGCCTCCTCTTTTGCATTTCTTTTTCCTCCTCCCCACCTATGATGATTTGTTGACCAAAGAGATGATATTGGTTGGGTTTCTGATGAAAGTGATTAATAAACATCCTGTTACCGTCCAAGTTAGTTGATGAATCTGGATATGTGGAGTGCACCGCACCTCCAAACCACAACAACAAAAAAGTGTTGTTGCCCCACTCAAGAAAGTGACACAAGAAATGTTGCACAAACACTCGAGCAAAAGCATTGATAATCAATTTTCTCTAGGCTAAGAACTACTGGGATTCATCAAGATCCATAAATTAAGTGAGCACATTATTATATAAGATTAGTTTCCTTTAGAAATCAATTAGTTAAGGAAAGGAATATGATACTCCATCCACTATAATATTCTTGAAAACAATGGTTTTCTTTTTCTTATTCTGTTTGTTGCACCGTCTCAAAGTTCAGAAAAACAATTCTAATTAAAAGAAGCAGAACCTTCTACCATACAAAAAGTTACCCTTTTATCAGACAATCATGCACTGCCACACGTGGACTTCAGAGGTTGGAACTTGGAGGTAATGAACCAAATTCACTTACAATCCTAAATTTAGTTCAATATGTTAGTAGTTCTTTCTGGTCTAATTTGGGATGTGTAGATGACACCTGAATCAAATCTTGTGTAGGAATTGGTTCTTGAAATCCTTGATACGTTCTGTATTTAGCATTTGCCCTGTAAAGATCCTGAAACTGAAGGAAAATGATTTATTTCGCCATTCCTGTTTAGGATTATCCTCCATACTCGGCTGTCCTTGCAAGCTGCAACCCTGCTAGGATTTGTCTGCATCGCTTGTGATTGAAACGCAACAATACAGAACTTTTTCCTTTCACAATTAAAATCATTAAAATGGTGGAGAGATGAACTAAGAGGAACTACAGGTCCTAAAGGCTTTTACTAGGGTTCAAGATCAATATTTATCTACCAAACCTCTTCAGTTCAGATTACACCATCCCATAACACTTGTGAGGTGATTGATTTTTCTTCCAATTAGTTATCACTTATCCTACCCTTGTTTTCACCTACCCTAAGACAGTTTATATGAAAACGGGTCCAAAAATTGCTGATAAGATGGTTGAATTAGGCCACCCTGTGCTGCTACACCTAACCCCTTCCGTTGGGTAGTCATGTGGAAAATTCCCCATTCTAACAACAAAATCACATGGAACTAGGCAGTGGCTGCACCATGCCAGGTTATGTAGCAAGAGTTGTCAATGTGTAAGTGCCTAAATCTTGTGAAAGTATTTGGAATATGAAGGGTCATGGTCATTATGATAAGTGCAAAACAATGTATATGTTACAATCATAATTCACAGGCTAAATATTAATATAACTACAAATAAACTGTAAACACGATCAACAATCTATGCAAATATCAGATAATAGCAGAATGAAAGTAATACAGTACCATATCAATATCAGCAAGCAACAAATTCACCAATCTAGAATCTTGATTCTCTTTTCTCAGATTCAACAACCACTCATGACAGACAACCAACATTCAACTCAACTACTTTAACACTTGAAGTTGAGCAAACGATACGAGATAGGAACAAAATTTTTGATCAGTTATAGAGCCATTAAGGATGACAAATGTTCACATGAAATGTCCAGACAGTATGCTCATCCAGAGGCTGTAGGGATGGCAATTAGGGCGGGTGCCCGCCGAGGGCTAATGGGGCAGGGACCATTGCCATTCCTATGAGGCTGTAATAAGAACAATACTTGGCAAGACTATTCCCCCACCCCCACCCCCCAAAGGGTCAACTTAGAATTCTCATATAAGAACCATATCACATAATAATACAGAGTCAATTCCATTATGCAGAGAAATCAAGAAAAACAAGATCATAAAAGCATTACGTCAATGGAATCAGATACTTTTCTGTCCCAGATTCAGAACTATCAATCAGAGGTAAGAAGTGAACAGCTATCTTACAGTTAGGCTCCCTCTTTTCTACATTCAATGCTTGCTGTAACTAAAAACAAGCAAAAGGCAAATCTTTTGTTTCCCAGATGATTGTCCTTGTCCAATAAGCTATATAAATGCACAGGCTCAAATTAGTTGTTGTCCCTTTAGCATACTTTTGTCATACAAAATAATATTCTTTACATGGCAGAGCCTTTCCTGTATGACAGGTAGAGATATTCCCAATAAAATCAAAGACTGGTGGTAAAGATTCTTAAGCAAATAGAGAAAAGCATAACTTGCTTCCTACATGGTATTAAATACAATGCAATGGATGAGAAGCATGATTTGCTTTTAACTGTGCTGTGAAACAAAATAGCCACAATCAAAAGAAATTCCTGCATTGCTTTTCTCCTATTGCTCAATTTCCTTTGTTCTCCAGCTATGAAATTCCTAACAACAGGCCATTAAGCTTGAGCGCTAAAGCGAGAATACATCTCTATTGTGAGCCAGTTTAATACTCTACTCAACTTCAACTTCTCAAGAAGCTAGTAGAAGTTCAAAATAAGGACGAACAGCTTTCATAGCTTATTTCAATGATGATCCAACAAAATGACGACAACACGTACTGGACTGAACCAGCACTTCCACAGAGTATGCAGTGGGATGAATAATACTTGTTGAATCACCAGACCATATGCAGCTCAGTGCTGTTAAAATAATTTGAGCTATGTCTTTAGTACTTTCTATTTCACTGGAGCAAGCATCTATAGAGAAGAGATTGACATCCCAGACCCTTGTGCTGTACTACCTATTTAAAAGAATGCAAGTGAGGTTACCATAACTAGAACTTTTCACTTCAAGGATACACTATACTTGTCCAGAAAAAGAAAATCTGGTATTCCAAAACTAGCAGCAGTCCAAAAGACAGTAAAATCCCTGAATCAGTACATGATTCAGGTTAAATTCTTTAACATGGTGCCAATTTCCATTCCAACTATTTTGAATGTCACATACACACTTACATGCCTACATGTATGTACATATTATATATGAAGAGCGGGTTTTTTTTTGGGGGTGGGGGGGGGGGAGTGAGAGAGGGCATGGAATATAAAACTGATGGGAACTCAAATATGCAATTAACAATTTAAAGACCAAAAGTTATACTCTTTACAACAGGAAAGTGGAAAACAAAATATAATTTTATTAACTTACTAAAAACTAGTATACAAGAATATGTGCATCTCGTTATTTTCACATTTTCTATTTTCTAAAAGAATACTATATAGCTACAAAAACTGTACTCCTATGAAGAATTCATGCTCTTCCCCTTCCTCTTTTCGTCCATCGCCTGCTTGAAAGAATAAAAATAAATAAATCTCAAACATATCCAAAGACTTAAGAGCAAATTCCGAACAAAAGTTCCCATACCTCACAAAAGTAGAGAAGAAAACTTTTAAGCCCAATCCACAAATTCAAGAAGCAAGAGTATATATTAATCGAAGGCACGAACAAAATATGAAATGCAAAATAAACATAAAACTAAGTATTTTGACACTAAGCATTTTGACCATCTATGGATTCCAATAAAAATGATGACTCCCCAACTTATATTTCAAAACTTAAATGTCTAAAGACTTAACATGAATGATATAACTTCCCTATTTCATTGGTATTAGATAGCGCAAATGTTCCAAATGCTACACAGGAAAAGAGAAATAGATGCTATACAGGAAATGAGAGGCAAACTCAGTGGCAATTGGACTAACGACACTCAAAAGTGAGAGAAACTCCTTCGTATCCTACCATTTTTCCCCACCAAGGATAAGAATTTCATGCGCCTATGCACTATGTCATCAGAAGATCCATCTGCTCATTACTTATAAGGTAAAGGTCGAGAGCAAAGATAGGAGAAGCGTTATTATGGTAATTGACAAGGTTCTAAGCAACAAATAGCAAATATGTTTAGAGTGCAGCCTTAGAGAGTCCCACTATTTGCTCAATTATTTTGTCATTAACCAAATTAAGACATTCCCCTGACATAGATTGAGAATAAACTAGCTCCCATGGAGAATCATTTTCATCTAGTTATTGGGATTTCTAATATGGTTTTGGAGTTGGAACATTAAAAAGGCATGTTGAGAGGTTACAATTTCATGTTGAAGCCTTGATATCCTATATAAATTTGTGAACTTCACCTGCATGATGTTCACTAAGTGAACTAATTCGATGCATATGGACATGAAAACCTTTAGGAGTACACTGAACTTCAATGCAACAATGCTTCAAACAAGCAAATGTAGTTTAAAATGCATCAAATTATTATCATATCAGACACAGTCTCTTTTTCCCCATAGTCAAAACACTAGTCATAGAAGCTATTACAAACTATTGGTGTCAATTGTAGCCTTATGAAACCCATCAAAAGAAATTTTACAATCTAATCACCAAAGACATGCATAATGTCCCACGTTCCATGAATTATAGAAAATCAACAAACCCAATGGTTTTGTGGTTGAGCTTTCAATTGACCACAATTTTACTTCATATCACCAAAACTTGTACACATCAGAAAGACTTGTTAAAAGACTTAGTAATGTTGAACTTATATCTAATGGACACTGCAGAACATGTCAAACATGTATACCGGTTGCAGCCTTTGGCTTCATGTCCCATATGACATACTTTCTTTGAGCATGGACCTTGGAATTTTGGGAAACTAACTAAAGCTACTTGTAATAGGATCCCACTTGGTAAGAGTGACTAGTCAGGTTTGAAACTGGAGCTCTATGCAGTGGCACAATTCATTCTACCAATTTGAACAAGCACAAAACTTTTTAGAATTTTCAATAATGGAAAGTCTTGTTGGAAGTGTGGCATAGATAAATTGTAACCACTTTGAAGACAGTTGTGATTTGGAATCTAGAAGAAGAAAGAAATAAGTCCAAGCTATTTTATACCATCAAACACATATAGTAAGATCTCAATGATCCACATTTGTTTCTGAGCACGACAATGGCAGAAAAGCTTAGCAATATGCCAAGCAAGTATGCATGCTATGTCCTACAGATAATCAGTTTAGGTTTGACATTGACACAATGCCAATAAATGTCTATATGGGCTGCATAATCGATACATTTGTTACTGCTTCAACAGCCGATTTCATATGTCTAGGGCCACATCAGTATTCATTTTGGCACAAGGCCAATGAATGATGAAATTTAGCTGCATATTCTCCTTGGTGCTACTAACCTTTTAGAATCTGTTGACAGTAGAGTTTAAAGGGATCTAGGACACTGGCAATATTGTGTTGAGCCTGAGGGAACATTTTGCATATGTACTAAACTTTGATTGCATGGGATGCCCTGTAATTTTACATTGAACAAATCTGTCCAATTTTATAAGTATTCCCTTTCCAGGTGTTTAAAAAGCTAGTGATGTTAACATGACAAATGTTGTTTTCAATTATAGCCAAATAGAGGAAAGAAGACAATGAGGAAGCAAGGCCCACCCAAAAAGGCAGATTGACTAACTTGCCTCCTGATCTCATGAGTAGACATCTAAAATAAACAATATTCCTTGAATCAACTGATTTATATTCAAGCATTCCAGCGGATAAGAGGTATTGCTCCTTGTCTTAGTATGAGGCTTCATTTCTCATCTCCAATCCCATGAATCCCCTGTCCTCGCCACTACTTCCTTTCCCATCCCTTCCCTTCTAAATAATGAAAGAAAAAGAAAACCTAATTTTCACTTGGGTTTTCTGTTCAATGTTTTTGATGTTTTCAACGTTCTCATATTTGGAGAGAAGCAATTTTACAGGGAAGCTGGTTTGATCCCAAAATTTTTCTTGTCAGCAGACTCAGCATATAGAAGCTGCTATACTTTTGATTTCAATTCGTCTCCAAACTTTGGAAAACTTTTGCTTGATTTATATAGACTTTTAACTTTTTTGTATTGGGATTTCAAACTTGGAACTGTTTAATAAAATAGGTAGCCAAGTAAACTCTCGAACTAGGTGGATTTTAAGATTAAAAAAACTTAATATTTTCATTATATATTCTCCTGCAGCTTACTGTTGCATCTAACAAGATAAAAATGGAACTACATCAGTTTGCTTGTGTATTGGCTTATATCTTCCCGAGTCTAGAGTACATAACAACAAAAAACTTACTCACTATCCAAGAACATAAGGAACTACAAAACCACTTACATCACACAAAGATAAAATCCTTGATTAAAGAGAGAAAATACCAAGGATCTTTAACAAAAAGAGACTTCTAGATTCCAAAAGTACAAATGATGTTATCTGCAGAGAAGCATACCTTCGTCTGGAAGATTCTTATTGTCAATGCTAGTGTATCACGCATTCTGCCAGAAAGAAATGGCATCACATCATACATTGCAATACACACCAAGAAAACATGAGGCGTGCAATTACTCTAGTATAGCTGTAGTAAACTATTAATTCGGTGAAAAAAAAGGCACTAAAATTTAATCAAATTATGCAGAAGTGATTCCTTCCATTGTAATTGAGCCATAAAATCAGGGAAAGAAAAAGAACAAAAGACATTCATTTACAGAGCTCGAAAATGGCACACCTTATCGAATTGTTAGTAACTCTACAAGGAGAAAGCAAGATTATTCCAGAGCTAGCAGCTTGGAACCTCCCACAAGATGATACAATTAAATTGGCTCAAAGATCATAGCATCAAGCTTTTGTAGCCATGCCCATTGCTTGCTCAGCAATCTATGTAACTTGGAAGCTGATTTTGAGCTCCCTAAATGAGTTAATTTATTCACTAAGTAGTAGTTGTTCTGTTTAGGTAAATATCCTGATGTTTAGAAATGAGCTCCAAGTGACTGCTATACTAGGCCCAACCCCAATTGGGAAACCAAAGGAAGAGTTACACCTATTGCACATTTTAAGGAAGATGACTCTCTGAAAAAGAGGGGGGGGGGGGTGAAGTAAGGAACTCTAGGCATAATGCTGCACAGGATATGTATGAAGTTGCTCATCATCATTTTTGCTATTATTTCTTGTACGTCTATGCATAAACATTAAAACACATACAATTACATACAATCAACCAGGAAAATGGAAAATCATTAGAAAGTTTTTTTTTTCCAATATCCTGAATGTACATTAGCGTGGCCCCACTAAGGTCCTCCTGTGAATATCATAGAGAGGAGCTTTTAAGTTCTTAGTTACATGGTAAAACTAAATGGGAAGTTCCATGTGCAAACCTATGAAAAAGGATTCATGTACCCCACAACACTATGCATAATTACCACTTATGAGAGTAACACAGGGCAAGTTAGAAAGTTATAATGGTGCATACCTAACATCATTGTTTGTGCTGAAAAAATGTGAAGAACCATCAGAATATGTTAAAACAAACTGTGATGAGACCCCATTGGGAATTTTAACCTGCAAAAGGTAAGAGAGCAATGCTGTTGATATGTTTGTTATCCGTGAGAATATTCCAAATCTAAACCTAATAATCACAAAATCAAAATACATAACAAGGTATCACTAATAAATACTGGTAGTCATATACATTATTCTCACTAATACAGTCACTCCACAACAATCAAGTACAACTTAATTTTAATGTATCACTACACCATCAGTTAATGTTGGAGGCCAATGTAAAGTGACGACAATCTTGTCTTGTCTAAAAAGCCCACTTTTAGCTGGCCATGCAAAGTTACTGACAAATTTAAACTTCAGCACACAATTGTTTTGACAGATCACTTGAGTAAGGGAGAAGCTTAATTGAGTAGGGAATCAACTCACTTTTGGGACACAATTATCATCTATAGGAACCCAAATGGATCAAATGATCAACATAGGCAAATATGCATTTATAAAACTTCTCTGCATACATATAATTGCTTAAAAAAGTGAAACACTGTCATTCCAAAAAGTGCTTAAATGTATTTGCATTCCATAAATGAAATTCAGGTCCAGATAAAAACAATCCCCAATATGAGTATTAGATTCTTGATTGTCCAAACTGTTAGAAAGTAAAAAGCATTACCGACAAGTCTCTGGAAAATTTCTCTGCAATTGCCACTTCCTGCGTTCTGTGAACCTTGACTTGGAAACTTGATCGCCTCAAAAATATGGTTGCCAGTTCCCAATTCTCGGAAGAATCTATCTGTTTGCAAATTGGATGATTAATGCTAAATATCTTTATAGCTAAATAAAAAATAATTTAAGTTGCTAATAACAACATACATAGTCAAGGTTTAACTATCTTTTGGCAGGGTAACAAATATAGAATTATCTGCAGTACTCACAACTCCTAAGAATTTAACACAATCATAATCAGTTTATTCATCTTTTGTAAGGTTTACAATTTCCAGATCTTATCGCTTTTGGTAATTTTATATGTAGCAACATTAATCATGCATGAGGGGATGATGCTGGTGATTTATTCTGCCGCAAATAAGGAAATAATTGCTCATGTAGATAATACTTCTAAAGCAGAAAAAGCGAAGAGGGCATGTAGGATCTCTTGTTTTTTTCCAGGTGCACAACCAGGCGGACGAGGCAGCAATTTCACAGAAAAGATACAAATATAACAGTGGGGAAGGACATCACTTTATTTCATTGTATGCCTCTCAGCCATGGATGGTCCATTTTAACTCAAAAAGAGTAATAATCACATGACTACAAATATTTGAAAGGGAGCCAAATAAAGGGAAGAGTGCCTTGGTTAACATTACAACTTCAAGATGCAACATGCTATCTGCTCCTTTCAAATTCTTTTAGTCCATTTGCAAAATCTATTGCAACATTACTATATGGAAAGTATGATATGGTGCACTCACTATTTGACTGTACACTAGGAGTAAGCAAATAATAACTATTACACCATTAGAGGCCTTTCTAATTCACTTATTACTGGTGTAAACCTTTCCTGATATTGATAATAATCCACAAATCACTCTGTGTTTATGCATCTAAAAAGGTGAGTACAAATTATAAACCTACAAACTAGCACCTATAATCCTATAAATTAGATCCAAAATTAGATAAGTGGTGTCTAACAAGTGAACAGTATGAGTAGGTAAATAAATATGAGTTTGATATTAGCAAATTATATATAACCTACAAGCATTAGAACATTGAATGTCGCTTGGCCATTTGAAATATGGGTGTCTATCTCCAGTTGCATATCAGGATCTGCAAAAGCCAAAGGTATCATTTGCCAGCAAGTATTGCAGAGAAATGAGCATGCAACCAAAGAATGTCCTGTACTGATGCTTATGCAAACAAATATCCACAGTCCACTTACCAAAAACTTGATGATGTTAAACTGCTAAAAGCAACTGGAAAATATAATATATGTAGTTGCAAAACTGTAATTATGCATTCATGGATAACTACAAAGCATGATGAGATATTCTAAAACTTCATATGAAAATAAACATTCAGAAACAATAAGGTAAAATGTTCCAAACCGAATTGACACTTGCTAAGCAATTTTCTTCTGCAAGCATCTAAACAAGTCAAATTAAAATAATTGACACCTCTTGGAGGTAATGACTTAATTGACTTCTTGTAAAAGCATTAAGATCTACGTGCTGAAGAAATTTAGGGCTCTTGACAGTTCTTTTGGTAACTCTAGAATGAAAATTAGTTGGGCTTTTTAAAATACAAACTACGAGGTCTAGGTAGCTTCTCATTTTAGAGAGAGAGAAAGAATTGCAATTTTGGCGCTTCGCATGATTCCTTGCAAATAATACATGACATTTCTATCTCTTTTCAAGGTTGTTGTTTCTGGTTGAAACTATCACACGATCCAAACTTGATTGCCCAAACTAGACCAAATTTGTCAACGAATGTTGACAGGAACTAGAATAATTACTCAAAGGAATTGGCTAGTTGTATGTGTTCAAGTATTATTTACATAAACATCAGTAGTTGATTACTTTTTAAATTTACATAGTTAGGAGATATATTATTTGAGGTTAAGCAGAACACATGATTACAGGCTTCTTCTACTTTTCAGGAAGCTTTTAATATATTCAAGAACAGAGTACATTGTCTCAACCTTATTTAGAATAGGGATTAATACAAATCAAAGACTGAATTAAATTCTTTTGCAGCTTTCCTGCATCAAATGTATCAGCCTGTTTACAGATTTCCTGCATCGAATGTATTAGCCTCTTTAAAGTTCTTACATCACTGACATAATTAATTTTCATAGTCAGAAAGAGTGAATCATAAAATCATCTGGCCCAAAAATTTCATTTTGTACTATATACCAAGCTTAACGGTGGGTCTGGTGTAATGTCCTTTAAATTCTTCATAAATTAGCTAACCTCGCACTATTGACATTTCAATCAATAACTACCATCGTGTCCTGGAGGTTGGTCTGGATTGGATCAATATACGTATATGAGCTTTGAGTAGAGATTACAAGGACAAGCCATGACAACCTTACCTCTACTATTGAGCATCTTGGGTTCCTTATACTTGATGGTTTTCATTTAGATAAGACTTATAAGGGACATGCTTAATGAACTAAAAGAACAATTTTGAGTTCTAAAACTATATTCCTTAATCAAATACCACTAAAAGAAAGAGGATGGGCAGGATTCCAGTTCAGTTTTATCAGATAAAAGATACCAAAAAAAAGTTATAGGAACAAATACTGTAAGAACTGTGTAGCTTTCTGGACCATGAGAACACAAAAATGAGAATACGAACCACCATGTCAATTTGATATTTCAAGCATCAACCATACAACTGTTAATTAAAGTAACTGAACTTACCACATGTTATTTTGTTCTGATCATTTGCAAATAGCCTGACAAGATCTCCCTGATTAAAATTAAAAAAAAAAAAAGATGGCTTGTGAAACGTCAAGAAGACAACAGACTGACACTTAAAGATGAGTATTCATGCATGTGCCACAATAATAAAAAATTGAGATGAAAGCCACCTAGATTTCTAATAAACAATGGTCAAATTCACTAAGCAATCATGGCGTGATCAGAATTAGAAAAAGAAACAGAATGGCTGTATGAGAAAGTTGAACAGTCTAGAACTTCTTCAAATTATTGAATTGGTTCAATTTATTTGCTGTAACTAAAGTAACACAAGAAGGGTCTATCAGTTTTTCACATAACCCTCCTATGGTTCCAAAGCTATACATAAACCCCTCATGGTTTGTACTAAAGTGTAAAAGTGACGGAAATTGCCTTCCGACAAAAAAGTCAAAAGTACCCCAATGTCAAGATAGAAACTATTTGTTAACCGCAGAGGGGGTTATGTATAGATTTTGACAACCATAAAAGGGTTAAGTGAAAAAATGTGAAATTTATAGGCAAATAAAGTGCAACCCATACTACATTATATCTTGACCACTTCAATCATTTTAGTTTCTAAGTGAAAGTAATCTAGACATTCCAGCTGGTTCCACTGCAGAGGACAATTTCCATCACTTTGAGACTTTAGCCCAAACAATGAGGGCGTTAAATATAGCTTTTAAACCAGAGGAGGGTAGTGTGAAAAGCGCTAAATGACAGGAGAGAAAAGTGTAATTTACCCAAACAAAAATAAACAACAAATTTAAAGGATGATCTAAGTTATCTAAAAAAAATCCTTCAAAGAATATTGATTACCAACATGCCCAAGATTTCCTATAATCTTTTCTTTCTTTTCTTTGTAAAAGTAGCAGAAAGCTAAACCTGAACCTGAGTGTTATCCCTGGGCTTCACTATAACCAAGTAAACCTGTATCAACAAATTATGAGATCGAGTCCACAACTTTCAAGTGCTAAGCCCATAAAATTTCAGAAAAGAATTTTACTAGATGAACAAATTCTGACTAATTTGCTTATCAAATAATCAACAAATTCTTGAAGATCTTTTTAAATACTCTTCTCCCCAAATTTGATCATTAAGTTTTCTCCAACAGCAAATCAGTGCAGGTACTTGGACACAAGGTAAGAAACATTTCTAAGAAGGTCAAGCTTGAATAATTGAAGATTTTGTACCAGAAATATATGGATGTATTGGTATGTCTGAGACCACTCGAAAGCAAAACATGCAGTTAGAACTTATTACCCGCAGTTTAGACACTCTAAAGCAACAAAGGAAAATAACTTCATAAACATATATATAAAAAAAAAAAAAACAAAGGTCAAGCAGAACCTGGCGTCCATGATCATCCATTGGTATGCACTCTACAGCTATAACTTTATCGATGTCATCAGCTGTAACTACATATTCGGGGTTGGTGGCTCCTGATTAGAAAAATATGACATATCTAAGGAACACTTCTATTGTTGATATGTGAATATACGAGGAGTGCAGAATAAAACTATAGATTATAATAAATTGCAATTTCTTTTTTTGAGAAAAATTAATATGTGAGAGAAGGCCTAATTAATAAATGATGATTACCCTCGATGTACTGCCTAGTTCCATCTGGATAATGACGAACCCACTGGTGCAAAGAGAAATGATTAAATAAGAAATTAAAAAATAATAACATTATATCAACAAAATAAAAAAGTTGTTATCTTCTGAAGTAGCCTTGAATGATATTTACCTGAAACATACAGAGAGAAGTTCCACGAACAGGATATCCACAGCCTAAAAGCTTTCCTCCAGGTTTAGCATCTCCAATAATTTGAAAGCCTTCTATTCCAGGACCCTCTCCTAGTGCCAAAAACAAAATTAGATTTTGTAGGAAATCCATCATTAAGAATACAGACTAAAACATGTATTACCTTCTGAAGTTAAAGAACCAACTCTAGGAGAGTGGTAAAACTGATCATTTTCATCTGGTCTCATATTTATGCCACTTCTGTCAAATATATTGTCTACCTCAGAACCTACAACACCCCTGCAAATGTGTCTGTTAGGAAGAAGCATTTATCCAGTAGGAAATGCCAAAAAAAAAAAAAAGGACCACCAGATAATACAAGAATGACAAGCTGGTTGAAAACAAAAACCTGAAACAAAAAGTTCAGCCTGAACCAGTTCTCAGGTTCTTTAAACCTTTAAATAATACTATAAGAATCAACTAAATCAGGCAGACTTACAAGTTGAAAATTGTCAATAATCAAACTAGCTATTTAATTCTACAGTTTCTAATCACAATGCAACAGAGCAACAATAATTTGTTGCACACTAGAATGCACTAGCTCGGGAAAAGCCATATGGATTTGTCTTCTTCCTATTTCACACTAATGGGTAAAATATATGTATGGGGAAGTCAAAGCTTATCTACCAGACATCTAATGGCTTATCTATAAAATGTCTTCTTCCTCTTTTGCACATGCAGACAAAAATATGTATACAGTGAGGTCATATCTACAATATGTCTAATCATGAAAAGATATCTATTTCAACACATGGCTTATGGGAAATATAAATCAATCAATCAACAAGAGTAAAATTAATCTAATTAAAAAGCTACATCTGCAAGGTAAATAACTCAGCTTCTTGATGTTCAAAGGAGCAAAATTTCTGCTCATATTGTAGGCATACTTTATCAATCTATCTTGGAAACCAAGCATCTGATGATGTACTCCTTTGGGGCTGATGCAGCACACAGAAGTCTAACTTTTTAGGTTCAGACATTGACAATGCAAATAATAAGAAAGCCAGAATGTTTACATTCATGCAGCGGTCTATACTGAAGGCATTACAACAAATATTAAACATGTAAGTTGCACTGATTCTTGTGTCTAGGAAAGAGATATCTCCAGTAATAATCTTTTTCTGCCTCCACAAGTATGTAAAATTAAATCAGACTTACAAACACTAAAAAAATTTGAAAGTCTTGGCTGACAATGAGAAACTGCTTACAATAAAATTCTGATGGAGAAATACCCAATTGGATTGTGCAATTGACTATGGCTGAAAAGTAATAAAAATTCATGGCAACTTCATCTATTTCCAAGAAGCACACTATTCACAGTTTTACAATGCTTCAAAGAAGTTGGCGGTCACAATTTTAAGGTTTCATGTAACAAAAGAACCAAAGAACCAAAGAACAAAGCATAACATGAACCAGTCAAATCGATATGTTGCAAAATGTGAGAACAACATTAGATTGTCATAGCATATTCTGACCAAATTAGTAAGCCTGCAGAACCCCAGACTTGCCTATCATTATCAGATGTAAGTTTTGAATGATTATCTGCACTCCGTGAACCATATATTCCATGATTAAGCATTAAACTTCCAGTTTGTTGATGATCATTCTCTTGTATGTACGTCGGTACACCATCGGCTGGCTCCATTTGATGTCCATCTAAATAGTGGTTTTGATGAGAAGATCCACCCATGCCCTTGAAACGAAGGACATCCAAATTAGTGCATAACTTACCCTAGGGAGAAAGAAAAAGCAGAATTACACTTCTTTGAGTAAACTATGAAAAAGAACTCTGTTTACCATGGAACTGTTAGGAAATTGACCCATAATGGGGCCAGCACTAGGGTTCTCCTTGCCAGTATGATTTCCAGCTATTGCATTTAGCTCTTCAATTTTATCCTGTGCCAAGAGATATATGAGGTTGATCATTTATACTACAAGTGAAAAGTTACGTTCTGTAAGATGAATTTAGATTAGGAAGGAAAAAGAAGGCCATCTATAGTGCATAATTTTGCATATCAACCCACTTAACTGGGATCTGTAACAACCCACAACAGATCAAAGCAAAGGAAAATAAACAGAGTATCTCCACCAGGAAAGGAGAGAATAGAAATCATACAAAGCATGTTGGGTGAAGCCGCTAAGGAACACATGTATCAACAGCAAGATAGGACAAAATACACCTATGTTTCCCTAACAGTTTATATAAATTTTCACTACCAGAGTACTGGTTTTAGGATGAGAAACAAGTGTAGAAAAGTTTAGCACAATATTATTCATATCAAATTCTTCAGCACAGTACGAAGTCGAAGACAACACAAAACAAACTTTCTTTCTCAACAACAGGACTACATGTGAAATCCTTGATCCAGAAATAAGCATGAAATTTTCGCATGATTATCAACAAAATTGCGTACAATCTTAAATTTAGATCATACTTGTGCATATAATCTTATTATCATTCAGTAACAAAAGAAAATTGCAATTACTACTCACAAACAAAAATCTTACATGTGAAGTTTTAATCTTCGATTGCAGTTGATCATGCAAGTGCTGCAAAAAAATGAGATTCCATAAGCCTGAAATCTATAAATTTGCAAAACTAACAAGAATTTTTTATACAAGCAGCACATCCTTTCCTAATCTGCATAGGTAGCCATAAGGTAAAAGACTAAATTACAAAATTTCAGCATAATTTTTCATCAAAAGCATACGTAAAATAAGGAAAATTTAAAACATATATAAGAGAAATAAAAGATTATAAATGCCTTTAGGAGTTTTCGATTGAAACAGCTAACTGACTTTGACAAACTTTAACAACAAAAGCATGATTTCAATTTCTTTCAACAAATTTCCCAAGAATCACTTTTCCATAATCAACTAGGGAAGAAGCAGAAGCCATCGAGAAAAAGCCCAAATAGCCATTTTTAGTGTGCAAATGACCAATACAATGATTAAGGGATAAAGTCAATTTCGATATGCATACCATAGCTGTACTAATAGTATGGCGTGCATATAAAGATGCATAAAAGTTACCCTTCTCCACTCCAAAATAAAAGAAGAAAGCCAAATGATAACATTAAACCGTTCATTAAAGTTCTTGATACTCTGGCAAGGAACATTGATGGAATGCATATTCCATTTGGCAGCATTTTGAGGCACAGAAATGACAAAGACTAAATTTCCTTGTTAAATTAAATTAAGAAAAAGTGATTCAGAATAACAAAGTCTTGTAATAGTTGCAAGTAGGCAAATCACATACTTCAATTTTTGTTCTTTCAAGTACTATATCCTTCTGAAATGCTTGCAAAACCATGAATTGCTAATCTGTAAATATATATGGCCCCTTATGCTATTACTCATATGATTATCAGTTTTGAAGTGTTCCATATACCACGATTAGAAAAATAATCCCAAACAAATTTGCTTGGATGCAGGATGCACATGCAAGGGGAAGGCACAGGTGTACATGCAAGATGCTTCAGTTTGAGTTTTCTCATGTTTAGACTGAAACTGTCTCCTTTGAGTCTTTTATGTACTCCCTATTTCCAAGATTACTGTCCATGAATTAGGAGTAAGCTATTCAAGGGTCTTGATCAGATTATTTTATTGTGTTGGTTCTGATGGTTGGATACTGGTTTATCTTTTCAGGACTCGTAGTCTCTCTATTAATAGTTTCATTATATTTTGGTAGACTTTGAGTCTTTGAAAACCCATATGAGCATTCAATTATGTGCAGTGGAGTCAAATTACCAGAGTTTAAATTGTCATTTTCTGATTTCCTTTCCCTTCCCAGGTAAAAATACTACATTTTCTCTATCCTGTTGTGTAGTCTTCTTCCTTTTACTGCTTAATTTGGTAAGAGCTCAAAGCACAAAATGCATGACTTCTTTTTCACTAAACCTTCTCCTCTTAAGTACTAGTTATTGCAGGCCATCCATTTTGATGCACTTTCATCCCCAGTTTTTGGACACTGTTTAATCAAAGCCTTTTGTGGTTCCCACATAATTTGGCTTTAACACATTAAGAACATGAGCATTTTCTAAGCTGGAATAAGGACAATTTACAGAAGACAGATTCTGCCTTTCAAACTAATCAATTTAAAAATTCACATCCAAGATCCTTTAAAGTTCTTCTTTTAGGTTTCATCCTCAATTCTAATGTTTATGCTTCCTCTCTTAAGTTCCGCAGAAGCCTACCCATATACAAAACTAAGCACATTGCATTCATTGATTGCTATAACCCAGAAGAGCACCATGATCAACATTAAATACTATAACCTCGATTTACATGGCTTTCCGGCGCTTGGAGATCCCACAAACTGATTCTGATACATGAACATAAGAAGCATGCTTCTGCCAAAGTGAAAGGATATTTTGCTACAAGCAACAATAACAGCTACCAATAATATACCAGCAGTCTCTGGCTATATTCACTTGAAGTTGTGGCCCCCTTCCCATGAAATGTCTTGCAGTCATATGTAGTGTACCAGTAAGAAAATACTTAATTAAGAAAACCAAGATGAAAATTTTAGACCCATTTCAGCATTAGTAGTCAAGAAACTGTCTATTTCAATCACAAACAAAATTGCAACATCTCAAAAGATTAAACTTGTCATATGATCAAACAGTATTAATATCATCTTCATATTATTTGCAAATCAAAGCTAACATCCCCTTATTATAATTATAATTATTCAAATTCTGCTTCAAAACGTAGAATATTAGATAGAGTGCTAAAGTCCAAAAAGTCACACTTCTGTCTAACAGCTTAAGCTTACAGAAGAGGTGGTAATTCAGTCATTAAAAATGAGCTATGAATAATCATTAATTAAGGGCAAATTTATGGGCAAATAGCCAGAAAGACAGATCTCTAACTAAAACAATAGCTTCCCATCAGGAATACATTTCTACTAAAAAGGCAACATGAAACTAAAATTTAAAATTTTACTGTAGGATCAAGTAAAACACATACTAATAACATATAACCATCTGCGTGCTATAGTACATACCTTAATGCTGTTCGTAAGAGTAAATGCAGTAGTAACACGAGGCCAAATGCCATACTCTGCCAACAACCCCAGCATTGATGACATAAAGATGTATTTCTCATCTTCTGCAATCTGAAGCATACATGAACCTTTCAAACACAATCCTCAGAGGAAAATATTTGACATAAAACTACCATTGTATCTAGTCAAGAAAGAGTATATGGAACTTCATAAATTAGCATGAAGTTGTCCTTGTGTATCAGAGGAAGTCCAAACATTTCACATCTAATAAAAGTTACAAGTGGATATGTACTATTTTAGATGATATGCATTACCATATGAAGTATCTACCTTTAACAGGACAAACTCAATTTCGATTTGAAGATCAGTCATGCCATCAATATTTTGATACATTATTTGGCTACAAAGGAATGGTTTTAACTTGAAAAGACAAGGTTTAAGGCTTGTCACCATCAACAGATAACTTCCATTAGTAATTGACTAGATATGTATCGAATGGGGCTATAATTGGTCTCCATTTTTACACAGAAAGAAAAATTCTAATATGCTTTCTGTGTTTGAAGCATGTAATAGAGCATTCAAGTACAATAAAAAAAGCAGCAGAAAAGAAATGTTTGACTTTGTCACAAGGCAATATGTCCAGCAAACAGCTCCAGAAGACATATGCCAATGATTCTTTTCTTTTCCCTTTCTCCACAGCGACATTCAAATTTCAACTATCTTTTCAAGGTAAAACTTTTTCACTCTTTCGAGATACAGACAAACTAAAACTGGGGGTATATTTTCACAACTCCTAAATGGGATCTATCAAGATTTTGAAAATAAAAATTTGTCATTTTATGTGAAATTGGCTCATCATATTTGAGGAAGCATTCGAAGAAATCCCTATATCCTGAATGAAATGTCTTCATTTTGGGTAGGGAACAGTTTCTTTTACTTCAAACTGCACAACTTAAAATTTTCATGGATTCAACATTACCAACCTTACCAGTAATACTACAGGTCCATTTGAATGGAATCTACTGTAGATCATGGCAATTTTTTTTGGGAAATATTGGTGTTTGTCCAAAACACCTCTCCCTCCCCCCCTCCCCGGCCACTCCTATTCTCTCTTCCCACCTCCTCCTACAAACCTGCCACCTCCCTCCTATCTTCTCCACCAACTTCAACCCCTTTCACCTCCTCCCTCTTCTCCCTGCCACCCACCTCCCCTCCCCATCCCTTCCACTTCCCCCCAATCTTGCTGCCCTCGTCCCTCTCTTCCCCAAGAAGGTGGAGAAGGTGGTCAAGAAGAGAGAAGGGGAGTAGGAGAGCAGTGGCAAAGTGGGTGGAGGAGGAGGGAAGGGAGGAGAAGGGTGGCAGTGGTGGGGTGGTTTTTCATTTTTTGGGTATACGTTTTTGGGTGTTTTAGGGCGTTTTTTAGCAAGTTACTGCAGATGGTGTTTTGAAACAAATTTGTTTGTCCAAAACAGCCCAAAAACAAGCCTGCCAAGCAGACCATTTTAACAGAGTCAACTTCATGCACTTCCAGAGACATTTATAAACTGATGTGTGGATTTATGTAAAATACCAAAAAAAGGGAATTTGATGAATCCGTTTTCATGTTTGGAGAAAGAGTGGTAACCTCAAAAGCCAATCCAAGTAAAATGTCACCAGTCCTCCACTTTTGTTTTCGTGTAGTGCTTTCAGTTGGAAGGTTATAATATTTTCCTCAAAAACTCAACAATCCTGTACTCTAGGAATGTGAAATACAGACTGCAGTCTAATTGAGCATTCATATTAAATCAACAGAATACATTGCAGTTGACGTTCTTGTTTCCCTTCTCCTTTCTTCTTCCACACCAACTTGATGACTATCCTTTTCTATGGGGCAATAAATTGATGCTGTTCAGAGGTAAGGAACTCCACATAGTGACTTTTGAACAAAGTTTTTTTTTCCCCAAAAAAGATGGGGCTTCTAAGATGGATGCTACCTTTTCTGAGTTCAGCTAATTACAACTTATATAAAAGATGAATATTTGTGACTAGTCCAGATAACAAAAAAATCTTACAAAAAGGGAACAAAGTAAAATGAAGACAAAACCACTTTCCAAGCCTATCAAATTTTTGTTTTACATCATCACAATTTGCATTAAAAGAAAAGAGGATATTAGCAATGACAAAATAGGTTCGAATACTGAAGAAGGAGGTGATATAGATTGACAAGAACAATGCATAAAGATCTCTTTTGAAAGTATGAAGTAAGAATAAGCAATACAACTAAAAGAAGAAGGACCTGCTCATAGTTAACAGAAATATACTCAAAACACACAGAGTGACATTGAAACAAATGGTAAGAAACAAAGCAAGTTGGTGACTTCCAAATGAATTATCTTGAGGATCTACATGCTATGGTTCTACTTAGCCACTGCACATGAACAAAGTCTTTGAGCACTCTTTACTTCCAGCCAGTAAGATCAAGGAATAGTCTGTCACGCATTCATGAAAAACCTATATAACGTCTCTTTAGCCTTAGAAGCAAGGTCAACAATCAGACTGTGGATAGGAAATCTTTTACCTCTTGAACAACCAGAAATCTCTACAATTCCTTGAGGCAACATTAATTTGGGACAAAGGAAATTAATCCGCAATAACACAAAAGAAGCATCAAATCTAACAGAACAGCTACACAAGGCATGAGCAGTTTCACCCTGGCCAAAAAAGCAAAGAAAACCCTCCTTGCCACAATCTATCTACCCTCCCAATTAAAACAACAGTCTCCAGTTCAATGTACCTATAAACTTAGCTATAAGATCAGAGAAAACTACACGGACTGCATTTGAATAAAAAGTTTTGGAGTAATAAAAATCATCCTACCATCCAGGTTTGTTAACAAGCTTATGTAGAAGCAGAAAAGCATATGTTGTAAGACAACTAATATTCGCAAACAACAATACACAAATGGACTGAAAGAGTACTAACCTATTTTGATCATTGACTGATCCATCCTTTTAAAGACATGTACAAGTTATGCCCCCAGTGGCAGAGCAAGCAAAAAAAACCTAATTCCTACCAGTACGGGACATCCTAAAAAGCATGAAAATAAAAAAAAATAAAAAAAACACACACACACACACATACACACACATGAAAAGATTGAATCCAGTCCACGTTCAACTATATTTCCTCAGTTCAGATCTGATTTGAACAATTCTCCTGAAAAAATTTAAATGAAAACCTACCTTTAACTCATTAATCAATCTCAGATTTTCTTCAAGATCACCTTTTCTCCGGGCCAATTCATTTGAGGCAGAAGTTATGGCTTCATTTTGCTTTTCGTCTAGAGCCTGTAGTCAAGAGATTTCTTCCAATCAGACCTTTGTCAGTAAGTGAGTGAATGAATAAGAGAGTACAAATGACAAGGACCAAACTGATAGGATAAGAGAATTAATTGTATGAGAAATATAAGACATACCAATCTCAACTCAGAAAATTTTCTTTCAAGTGAATGTTTCTCACTCAACAGCTGAGATTCCTGACCAGTTAAATGAAGGTCATTTTTTTTTCTGGGCAGAACTATGACATACAGAGTACCAAATGTGGAGTAAAAGACTTAAATAACATGGTATACCTTCATACTGGCAAGAGCAATTTGTTCACGAAGAAACATTATCTCATTCTCTTTAGCCCTAGACTGTGAATACAGTTCCTATTGACAAGCATAATTAGTGAAGAAGAGCAATACAAGTGTCTATAAATGGATTGTCTTGATTCAGATATACCCCTACCACAGCTGCCTGGTCTTGAAAATTGTGATGATTGTCACTTCCCTTGAAATTCTTTGTTATGGAATTTGTTGCCATGTTTGGCCTGCAAGCAGATTGATATTGTCTTAGAAGAAGTATCAAAAGGCATACACATCCCTCCAATGCTTTCCTAATGAACTACCTGCTAGCCAAATTGTTGCTTCCTGCCTCCATGCGCATATCTTTGTTTCCATTCATAGATCTATTACTTCGAGATTTTTGCACAACCTTTTATTCTGATCCTTAAGAGGAGGACACTTCAATGCTTTGGGACCATCTTATTCGAACATCATGAAGAAGACCTCTTATCTCATCTCCTCATCCACTTCTCCAAAAAGAATGAAATCAAGAAAAGAAAAAAGCTGCATAAAAGTTTACTAAATTATTTCAACAACCAAGTCACTGGAGGCAAGCATGATTACTTGAGCACCACCAATTTAAGTTCAACATAAGTTTGAAGGTCCAGTGCCCTCAACTGGTTGACATATATAAGACCAAGCAAGCAGAGCCACATAATTCAACATACAATGACAGCAGGCTTCATAAAATCACTTGCTGATATACACTGGAAATGGAGCTTACAATCTTGAATCACCAGAAAAACAGCTCAAGTTCAAAATGGTTAATAATCTGTAAAAAAAAACTTTGGAACCAACAGAAATCAGGTTCCATGGCTTCATGTAAAGTTTATGGATGCATCCACTTTCATTTTCTCGTTTTGCAACATCACCAGATAGAAAAACGAGAAAGATTAACATGTTTGAGAGGTACATCTAGTCCAATTTGTCCAGAAAACTCTGATACATCACATTACCAATCTGCAGACTAAATCCTACAATGTCCCCAAAAATGACCAAAGTACATGATGCTAACAGCAAATCCAGAACTCCCACATGATTTGTATACTGAAGAATCTTACTTCCAGCCGTTAATCAATGCAGATCGAACAATAGCATCCCAGATCCCTCTACAGTATTTCAGGTTTCTGGATGCAGAATAGAAGATTTTATTTTTCAATAAAGTGGACTAACTAGACTGGTGAGCTCAAAAATTCCTGTAACGCCAGAGAGCACTTTTTTCTGAACAAGTATACTAGCCATAAGTTGCAATGTCCAGTTTATACTCATGGAGTCTCTAGCACTTAAAAATAGCAAAAGATGAGTGGTTACCTCCCACCCCCCTCCCCCACCAAAAATAAAACACAGACGCATCTCCATCTTGCTAAAAAAAGCTAGGTCTGCTTCAAATTGTATATAACTTTCTTCAGACAAGCCAAGGATGTTACATGATGAAAATCAATGAAAAAAAAAAAAGCTAAGACAAACAACTTTGATGAATATTTCTGCTTCTCATTGCTCTATTCAGAGGATACAATAATTTTGTCATCAAGCAATAAAATTTTTAACACACTCACCACTAAGGTAGCCATGCAGTCAAGAACTTCTTTCTGAGAGCCTATATTCAAGAATATCATTCAAATTTTAATTACGAAATTAGCATAACCAGACTTCAACCAAACAGCTGCATGCATTAAACAAGTGGTAGCCCATATCAGGAATTACTAATTGACTAAACAAGATTACAAAGAAAGAAAACAGCGCACAAAAAACTCAAAAAAAAAAAAAAGAAACAAGACCAAGCACCAGAAGAAGAGGAAAAACAAAGTATAAAAGAAGTAAGCTAAAAGAAGTTCAGAATGTCTTTAGTGAAACAGACACGAAGTAACAAGTTAAAATGTTTAGACTTACCCCACAACAAAAATTACCATGATTAATGGAAACCAAACTGGAACATAAAACCACTGCTAATAATAAATCATATAACAAGAAAATTCAGAAGAAAATGAAAGGAACCTCAAAATCAAGAAATGATTGAAAATTCATGCAGAAATGAAAAAATTCAAAGAATTCCAGAACATCAACAGAAGAGAAAAAGAGAGGTAAAATGGGAATTCTTTCTACCTTAATAATGGTTTCAGCAGAAATCTAGGATTCAAATGTTCAAAATCCAGAAGAAGAAGAAGAAGAAGCAGCCCAAATGAAAGAATTCAAGAAAAAACGGTTTTCTGGGTTGAAGCGTATTTATTCGAGAAAGAAGAGAATGGGATTGAGATGTTAGTTAATTGTTTTTACTTTTTACGTTTGCTCTTAAAAGTCAAACCCGAATTGGTCGCTGAAGTTTTTTTCTTATTCATTTTTTTTCTTTTTTTTTCTTTTTCCTTCTATTTTGGTAAATGACCCCATTACACATTAATTAATGATTAAGGTCGTAGGACATACTCTCAAAAGTTGGGTCAGACGGGCCAGATTCAACAACTTCAAATTGGAGCATCGATTGCTCTTGAGCATCAGATTGGAGTGGGAGCTCGAGGTTTTTCATCTTCCTAGTCGGCCTCCATTTGTTAGGCTTAGGAGAAATTACCCGATTATCCCTATTTTTTACGGTTGGGGCCTTGGAGGAGTCGAATTCGGTAACGAATTCGTTTGACTCTCTGCTGTCGGTGGCGGCGGCAGAGGGTTTTTCGAGGGTCGAATTTTGGGGCTTTGAGGAGAGGGAGAAAGAGAGCTTCATCTTAGCAAAGAATTGAAAGAAGATTCTAAACTAAAATCTCCGATCTCCCAAAAACCTACAAATAAAAGGCGAGGACTACCTGCCAAATGACTCTTCAATGCAATTGATGTAGCAATTTTGCTTGCAGTTATATAGGGCCAGCAAGAACCCAACCCCAAGGCTAGCAAGAAGCCAAAGAAGAGGTCGTCACCTCCTGAGTGTCACCAAGAACCGTTGTTGGATCGATTGAGAGGAGCCGATCCAACGGCGGCGGACCCCGTTATCGCACTGGTAGGGTGTCTCCGGCGATAGAGCTGCCGTCTCTGAAGGTTTCAGCATGTGGGTTTTGCACTTGCAGTGCTTTTGGGAAACCACCACCTAAAAAGACTCGTCGGAGACCTCCCAAGCATGCTTCGATATTGTGAGTTGTGGAGAATGTGAAATGGAGGAAGAAGGAGAGGAAGAATAGAAAAGAAAAGACAAAAAAAGGAAAGGAAAGGAAAATAAAATAAAAAAGAAAAAAATTAGTAATAGACAGACTACCGGTTCACAGCAGGTCAAAAAGCGTAATTCCACTCTAGTCTAAAGCACGAGGGGGTAGTGTGGGTATTTTTAAATAATGAGGAGATAGCGTGTCAATTAGTCAAACCACAATGAGGTTTTCTGTATTTTACCCTATATAGTATAAAATTCATAATCTCCTTACGTTAGATTGGAACAAAAACGCTTGGCCTCGTTCTGAGTGCTATGCTCTATTTCCTCTATTCTCTAAAGCAGCTCTTGCAAGAGTGCTTTGCACTCTAGTGGTGACTTCTTTCAGGAGTGAAAAAGCTCCCTTCTTCCTTGCTTTTATTCAAAGTCAAACGATTTTTTAGATTCTCGAGGAAGCTGGGAAAAAAGAGAGAATCTAAAGGCTTTGTTTGGATTGCATTTTTCAGAATTTTTTTTAGAAAAATTATTATAGCGATTTGATATGTGTGAGAAAAAAGATGATTAGAAAATGTGTTTATGGAAAACGAAATAATTTTTTCCAAACAAAGCTTAAAGTTCTGGTAAAGCGATATGCATAGCAAGCCCCACCTGGGTAGATGCACGTAGGCAAGCATATCTTACATATATAAAGAGTGAATGGCTTGTGAATAGTGCCTCATGGTCTGGTTATCCTGTGATTTTTGTGAACTTGAGGGGTGTTTTGGTCATTTGGCATTGGATGGCAGTGGTTTTGTTGCCCATGGACTGATTATCCAGTAATTATGGGTAACTTTGGTGGCTTTTGTATTTGTGCTTTAGGTGTGTGTTTGGTTTCTCCAACTAAGACCGTCTGTCTTGTGCGTAATTGTCGTTGCTTCAGCTCTATTGATGAGTGGGCTGTGTGCGAAGTGGTCTGTGGGAGCAGCACAAAGCTCCCTTGTGTAGGTAATCTTGTGAGCAAGCCATCTCAAAAGTTGCACATTAGATTTGTTTCTTTCTTCAATTGAAGGCTAGGGTTTGGCGGTTTTGTAATGTGAATTCTTCACTCTTTTGCCTCGCTAATAAAAGCAACTTCCTTTTTCAATTGAAAGTTTCAGTTCCCTAATTTTGCAAGGTGAACACCTCGCTTTATTTCTGCCTTTTAGTGGTTTTGCAGGCTGAGCCCTTCACTCCATTTCCGCCTTGATCATATTTTCTTTGTTGCACTGTTATTTTCTTGTCACAAGACACGATTTGCTTGTTCTGCTCTTCATTTTTCTCCTTTTATAATTAAGGGCTGTATTTAACATAAATAATTGAGGTTACTCATTTTTGCTTGGTTATGATTGTAAGAAATATTGATAAAAGCTTAGTTTTGGTACTTTTGCAAGGTGAACTTCTTGCTCTACTTTTGCCTTGATTTTATTTTGTCTGTTGTACTACTGTTTTCTTGCTGTTTGTCAGTTGTCTCTGGCTGTTAAATTTGTTGGTTTGTAATTAGATTCTGTGTGCGAGATTGATTATAAAATATTAGCGTTAAATTTCTTGACCTGCCTTTAGAAAAGCAACTGGATTTGTTTGCCTGAATTGGAGGAAAAGCTTTTGTTCATAACTGGTGCGAAGGTAGTAGTAAATGTAGCTCTTTATTTTGGTGTGAAGGTAGCAGTAAATGTAGCTGTTATAGTTAAACGCCTAATTGCTCCTTTTTACCTGAACTCTACTTCAGTTATAGCATAAAAACTACTTTCCACAATCCTGGAGCAAAAAGAAACATGTGACAAGATGCTTGTATTCCACAGGCATTACGACTAATTTATCTGTCCAAAAGCAAGTAATAAAAAAATATAGGTGGCTTTCTTGACAGTTATTTCAAACAGTATCTTGCCTAACCAAAAATGAAGAAAGCTGAAAGAACACCAATAAGAGCAATTACTTAAGATATATAGACACACAAATTAAGCATCTAGTGCTTTGTTCATCATCAACGTTATTATCTATAAGCTATGACCAGTATGCCAAATTGTGCTACATTTCTACTTCCCTTGGCTAGAAGCCTACTTACTCATTTCGCTAGTCATTTTCTCCTGACTATTTCACATGTACATTGATAACCACTGAGAATAGGTATTTTGGGAGGAAAACATCTAGTCACCGTATTATGAGTGACTAACTAGTATCTATAGGAGTACAAACCTAACAAACTATTTACAAGAATACCCTTACTAATTTATTATTTACAAGAATACTTATATTCTCTTAACACTTCCCTCAAGTTGGAGCATACATATCATAAGCACCCAACTTGTTACAAAATGTATTTCACCCTAGAGGCCCCTAAACTCTTGGTAAACAAATCAACCAGTTGATCTACAGACGATACATGAGATGTCTTGATGACTCCATCAAGCAATTTCTCTTGAATGAAATGACAATTAACTTCAATATGTTTTGTCCTTTCATGAAACACTGGATTAGACGCAATATAAACAGCCGCTTGATTATCACACACTAAATTCATAGGCTGTTTATGCTCAAACCCAATTTCTACTAACATGCTATTCAACCAAACCAACTCACACACAGTGTGAGTCATAGCGCGGTATTCAGATTCTGCACTTGATTTGGAGACAACTGTTTGATTCTTACTCTTTCACGACACTAAATTACCACCAACAAACACACAATATCCTGTGGTCGATTTTTTATCTGAGGTAGAACCAGCCCGATCGGCATCACTGTATTCTTTAATATCAGTGTGTCCATGATTTTGATACAGCAACCCTTTTTCAGGAGCACTCTTAAAATACCTGAGAATCCATATAACAACATCCCAATGACTAGTATGAGAGGTCTCAAGAAATTGACTCACTGCAATGAAATGTTAGGTCTCGTTACAGTGAGACAATTTAATTTTTTCACAAGTTTTCGATATTACCTAGAATCATATAATAATGCACCTTGATCTTCTACTAATTTCATATTAGGATCCATAGGAGTATCCACAGGTCGGCAACCTAACATTCCAACTTCACTCAGCATATCGAGTACATATTTTCTTTGACATAAATAAATCTCATATTTAGATCGAGCTACCTCAATACCCAGAAAATACGGTAAATGATCTAAATCCTTTGTCTGAAAGTTTGCCTGCAGATTGGATTTAAGTTTCTGGATCCTCACAATATCATCACCTGTAATCACAATATCATCCACATAAACAACTAATAAAATTTTACCAATATTAGAATGCCGATAAAATACAGAGTGATCTGCTCCACATCTTGTCAGACCGAACTCCATGACAACACTATTAAATCGACCAAACCAATCCCTAGGAGATTGTTTCAATCCATATAAGGATTTTTTCAGACGACAGACTAATCGCGAATTCTCCCCCTGAACAACAAAGCCAGGAGGTTGTTCCATATATACCTCTTGGTCCAAATCTCTATGTAAAAATGTATTTTTTTACATCCAACTGATGCAATGGCCAATTATAAGTTACTGTCAAAGAGATAAGAAGACGAATTGAGATAATCTTTGCAACAGAAGAAAATATTTCTAAGTAATCTATTCCATACACCTGAGTAAATTCTTTAGCTACCAGACGAGCTTTCAATCGATCAATAGAACCATTAGACTGTACTTTTATAGTGTACACCCATTTACAACCAACAACAGGCTTACCAGAGGAAAGAGGGACAAGATCCCAAGTACCATTTTGTTCCAAAGCAGACATCTCTTCTTGCATAACTAATCTTCAACCAGAATGATTAAGAGCATGCATAATAGACTTAGGAATGGAGACAGAATCAAGTGAAACAACAAAAGAAAATATGACATAGAGAGACGAAAATAAGAAACAAAATTAGAAATATGATGAGAAGTACAATGCCTCTTACCTTTACGTAAAGCAATAGGAAGATCTAACTTAGAGGAGGGCGTCATGCCTGGATTTGAAGATTGAGAGTTAATTGGTGAAGTGCGTGGCATATCAGGAGCTTTCTCAACCATGGAACGACGAGAATAAACTTAAAAATTAGGACGAGATAATCGAGCTATGGAATCTGGTGGACTAAATAACTCAGGTAATAAAGAGAAAGAG